AAGCACTTCCCTGGCAAGTGCAAGGGTCTGCGTTCAATCCCTAGTTCCGCCAAAGGAAAAAAAAAAATGTGGAATAAGATGCTGTCTGATTTTGTTCTTCTATAGCTAATGCTGTTTTCTATGTATATGCTTTAATGATTTTTTTTTCTTTACAGTTTTGGGCAATTTCATTTTTGTATGTCTTGGTATGATTTTATTCATAGTTCTTGTGCAAAATGTTCATTGTTCTTGGAAATATGGAGTTATAATTTCAACTAAGTTCAGAAATTTTAAATCTTTAAATATTTATTGCCTACCCCTTTCTACTTTGAGAATTATAGTTATATGGATATAAGTTTCTTGATTTTGGCACAGAGTGAACTATTTTATGACTGATTTGTAAACTCTTCCTCCTTAATGTTTATGTTAGATAATTTTTAGTGTTATCATCATTTACATTTCTAATTTTTTTTTTTGCAGTAACAGGGAGTGAACTCAGGACTCTGCACTTGCCAGCAAGTGCTTATTCTACTGAGTTATTTCCCCAGCCCTTTAAATATTTTTTTATGATGTACAATCTATTATTAACTTCATGTATTCATTCCAGAAATATTTTTCTAAAATTTACTCTCTACATCATATCTTACACTTTGTTTTCTCTTCAGATCGTATAAATCTTTAGCCTTCTACATCATATCTTTCACATTTCCATATTTATCTACAATTTTTAATTTGCTATATAATTATTATTGATTTTCAATAAAGTTAGTAATGAATTTTTTAAAATCCTATTAAGGAGTGAGAAAAATAATTAAAGTATGGGAAAAAGCTAATTCGAAAAAAGAAAAATGAGAAAAATAACAAAAGATAAGCAGGAAACTATGAAGAAATCCTCATAAAAAAAAAAGAAAAAAGAAAAAAACCCCTCAACTCCTTAAATACATTGAAGAAAATAACACAGTCCAAAAATTCCATCATGTTTTTGAAGGTTTAGTCTCTCTGTGAGGTCTGCAGTACAGACTCCAATAACAAGACCTATTTAAAGCTCATACCTATTTCTTTTTTACACATTCTCTTTTGTGTGTGTGTGTGTGTGTGTGTGTGTGTGTGTGTGTGTAGATGCTAATGCTGGGAATTTTTGGTCAATGGCCCACCATACAGCTGTAGTCACTCTGGCAGCTCCCGGTTTCCAGGTACCTCTACCCCTCCTAAGTTACAGTGCTTTTTGTCCTGAGCTTTATGGCCTATGCATTTCTGAGGTTGCCTCCCTGCCCCTGAAGTCTCTTTGTCTGTACAGCCAAGGCTATGGAAACCACCCAAGCCATGATGCACTATTGCTTACATGAACAGATGGGGAAAACAAGCAGACCACTGAGTTCTGTGCTGAATATAGGCAGTAGGGTGTAACAGCAAAGAAGAGTGCTTTACTCAGGCAGCATTTGTTTTTTTTCTTCTCTTCAATTCAAAGAACTCTTTGTATATACAGTATTTTTTTCCTGGCAATCCTTAGCCTCTTATTTTAACACTTAGACTACACCTACACATTCTCTTCTGATTTGCAGTGCTTTTAGGGTTAGAAGTCTACTGGGCTTCCCTTGTACGTGATAAGTTTTTTTTTATCTCATTACCTTCAAATGTTTTCTTTGACATTTGAGATTTTCATTATAATGTGTCTCAGTGAGGATCTCTTTAATCTGTTTGGGTTTGTTTTTGTCAATTTGGATATTCATCTCTCTCTCCAGATCTGAAACATAGTCTTTCATTATTTCATTAAATAGGCTTTCTGTCCCTTTGTTTTTCTCTGATCTTTCTATAATTTCCATATTGTGTAAATGATGCTTGATGGTATCCCACAAACACATAGGCATTCTTCACTCGTTTTTCATTGTTTTTTTTTTTTCTTTTGTTCTTTTGACTCTTCTTCTAGGTGAATGTTCTCTTGAAACTTTCTGTGAAATTTTTCATTTCAGCATTCATGCTCTTCAGATCCAGAATGTCTACTAGTCTTACGGTTTTTATTTATCTTTATTAAATTTTCATTTTTGTTCATGTATCATTTCCTTCTCTTCTAGTTCTTCACGTGATTATTTTAATTTTTTTATTTGATTTAAAAATATATATTTGGTACAGGGTCTCACTATGCAGTTTGGACTGGGAGTGATCCTCCTGTTTTTAGCCTCCCCAGTGCTGGGATTACAGGTGTGCGCCATCACGTCTGGAATTGGTCACTGACTCAGTGTGTCCAGGGGCAGGGCTGGCATATGGTATGGGGGTGGGAGTGGGGGTGGGAGTGGGGGTG